AATTAAAAAAAAAAAAAAAGATTCTAATCAAAACCACAATGAGATACCACTTCACACCCACTACTAGCATGACTGCGATCAAAAAGAGAGGCAATAAGTTGCAAGTGTCCGCAAGGCTGTGGAGAAACTGGACCCTCATACGCAGCTGGTGGGAATGAAAAATGGGGTAGGCGCTTTGGAAATCGGTGTGGCAATTCCTCAAAATGGTAAGCATAGAGCTGCCAGAGGACCCAGGATTCCACTCCCAGGTATCTACTCAGGAGGCATGAAGATATGTCCACATAAAAGCTCATACAGGAATGTTCACGGCATCATTACTAACAATAGCCCCAAAGTGGAAACCACCCAAATATTCACCGACTGCTCAAAGGATCAACAAAATGCTATATATCCATACAATGGATTATTATGCAACAATAAAAAATAACGAAGCACGGCCACTCGCTATGACGTGGGCGAACCTGGAAAATGTGACGCTCGGCGACAGAAGCTAGACATAAAAGGTCCCATATTGTATGACTCCATGTATATGAAATGGCCAGAATAAGCAAATCTTAGGGAAAATAAAATGAGTGGTTGCTGAGAGTTGGGGAGGGGTGACGACTAAGGGGTGGGGTTTCTCTCTGGGGTGATGAAAGGGTGCTAAAATTAGTTTGCAGTGATGCTTACCCAACTCTGTGAATATACTAAAAAATAATGACTTGTACACCTTCAGTGGGTGAATTGCATGGTATGTGAATTATATCTCAATAAAGCTGTTAGGAAAAAAAGCAAGCAAGCAGCAAAGAGGCTGAGATATATTCTAAGAAGGCTGAGTCCAAGAAACTGGTCCCGGCTGAAAAACCAGGGTGACGATGGGGCAATTCACATGCCACTGACTGTCTCAATGATGAACAAACAGCTCACCAATCCAGATGTAGGGCAGCATTCCTGGGCATGACCATGGCTCCCACCAGCAGACATCCTACTGAAGTTTCTGCCAGGCTTCTGCTCTGGGCTGCCCTGAGACCAGTCAGTCCTGCACCAACTCAATCACCACTTCTACTGGTTCACAAGGAAATGGGCACCTGACAGGACGTCAGAAACAACACACCAATGACAGAAGGGGGGAGTTGCTGAAGAAGCCAAAGATGACTTCTCTTTGACACTTAGCGACCCTGCCAGGAGTCCCCTACCACATCAAAAACCGTCAAATTAAACAATGGGCACAAATTCGAGATCATTCCAAACATGACCCACACCAAGATCTCACTGCCAGAATTTTATGATGTTGCCCCCCACAAAAAAAAGAAAGAAAAAGCAAAAGCCTTTACCTTCATACTAAACTCTCACGTTTTAAACAAAAGAGAAGAGGGGTCACCACATTAGGCATATAATTATGAAGACTGAGTGAATCAGTCACAACAGTTTTCCAGTTATAATACATACCACGGCTCATGAAAGTTAAGTTTATAGACCAAAGATACAATTAACATGAAGATGCAGTTTTCCCAACCGAAAAAAGATGAAACTATTGATTGCCCCAAAACAGTGAGAAAAAAGAGGTTAATGATGCTCTGCTGTTGGCAGAAAGAAAATGTATCCCCATTGTCTTTTGGGTGGGAGACCTACTTGCTCAGAAGAGAGGCTGTTCAAGATTTAACATTTTTAAAGAGCTGAGGGCACATAAGGCAAAGACACATCTTAGGTTCTGTCCTCACACATGGGAGAGGTAAGGTGGCACACTAGGTCCTCAAAGCTTCTGTAAGGCCTTTCAAGGGGGAGGAAGACAGCCTAGGAGGTGGGGCATCAGGCTAAGGAAAAAAAGGGGCAAAGGGAGGAGGAAAGTGGGTCCTGAGGCAGGCAAGAGTAGCTACACAGGAAGGTTTTGCAAGGAAGGGAGAGAAGGAGTATGAACTACTGTTGATCTCTGACTGGGAAAAAAATGTCAAGTGTGTTACTATTTGCATGAGAGGGGTGAGATGCAGAAAAGAGCCAGAGTAGGTAAAGCTGCAGCTCCAAAGCTATCAGGGGCTGGCAGCAGGTACTTAGAAATCCAGGTCAAATGGGCGGGGGGGGGAGGTACACAGAAAGCAAGAAAATACCGTGTGAGAGATAATACTGGGTGAGTTCGATTTCCCAGCACATGGGTATCAGAGACTGGGAGGAAGCCCTGGCAGTATAGATAAAAGTTAAGAACACAGAAAGAGGGTCCCCTGGAGCCAAGGAGGAGGAAGATGAAGGTATGGGTTGGGGAGGTAGGCCAGGGAGACTGGGAGGGGACTGGAAGTGGCCAGAGAATGGAGGTAGGGAGCACAGAGGAGGCTTGGGGCTGGGGGCAGCTGGGTGCCTGGGCCAGGAAGAGACTGGGGCAGCTCCGAGGGCGGGGGGCAGGCAAGATCCCAACGGACTGGGAGGAGCTCCACCCAACAGCACCCAGGATGTGAGTGCCTGGTCTTCAGAGAGTAAGTACCAAAGGCTAGGAATCAGTTGTGGGTTGAGGAGGCTCTCAGGGCTCAGGGGCTAATGGAGGGAGTGTGATCCCAGGTCGGAGGGGACTAACTAGGCTCTCCCAAGGAAGAAATCCTGGGAGGAGGGCCCCAGGGTTTGAGGATCCCTGGGACAGAGGAGAGGGGAGGGGAGGAGGGCTGTCTCAGGTCTGGGATAATTTGACATGGGCCCAGCCACGGGTAGAGTCCCGAGTCAGGAGAAACCAATGGAGAGTTCTTCAGGGTCTGAGAGGGACTGGAGGGAGAGCTGATCTCGGGGCGACAGGTCCTGGGGAGGAAGGACTCAGGTCTGAGGGTGGCCAGTCACAGGGGGCTTCCGGATCCCAGCCAGGCCGGTCACCGTCTGGGAGAGTGTTCAGGGTCGGCCAGGAGCCGCTCACGACAGGCTCCGGTGTGAGGGGCAGGTCAGGGATGGGGCTTGGAGAGTGTGAGACACCAGCTGGGCAGGTCCCGGGCGGTGAAGCGCCTGGTGCAGGAGGCCCGGCGGCGAGGGCCTGGTCCGCGGCTGCGGGCTCGAGGAGCCGGGGGCGGGCACGGCCCGTGAGCGCCGCGAGGAGGCCCTCGGGCCCCGGCCCGACCCGGCCCGGCGCTCACCTGCAGCACCACCTCTACGTCGTACGAGTTCCCCTTGCTCTTCTGGTGGCCGCGGAACTTGGAGCCGCTGTAGAGCAGGCTGGTGGCCACGCCGGGCTGCTGGGTGTTGATGGGCGGCGGCGGGATGAGCGAGGCCGCGGAGGCGGCCGAGGCACCGGCCGGCGGGGGACACTCGGTGCGGACCGGCATCGCGGGGTCCCCCGGAGCCAGGGCTGGGGGGAGGGGGGAGAGGAACCGCCGCCGCCGCGCGGGAGCCGAGGGGGGTGGCAGGGAGGGAGGGGCCGGGGCGCGCACGCGCGGGGTGGGGGCGGAGGGGGGCCCACCCGCCCGCTGCCTGCGGACCAAGCGCTCCGGCTGCCACCGGGACCCCGGGACCTGCGAGCAGGGCCTCCCTGTCCTGAGCTGAGTCCCCCTCCCCACTTGCCCTCGCACACACACCACCTTTTCGATTGGCTCAGGCACGCCGGGGGGGGCGGGAACAGGCTCACGCGGCGCTTCCACCCATTGGCGGGCGGATAAAACACGTGGCGGGGTGTGCGAGGGGCCCTCTGGGACTTGTAGTCTTCTTCCCGAGGCGCGGCGTAGAGGGGGCGGGGCGAGGTGCGTTTGTGATGCTGATTGACTGGGGGTGTGCGCAGGAGGCGCGCAGGAGCGACGGCGCGCCGCTGGTGTCATGCGGAAGATGGCGGCGTCCAGGGGAGGCTGAGGACTCTGGGGAGGTGGAGGCAGGTTTCCGTACAGTCTGAGCGTGCGGCTTTGGGGATCCCTTCGCTCTGTTTCCTGCTCTCAGGTTTCGCGCCGGTCGTCTTCCCAGGCTTTCGGGCGCGATGTGGAGGAGCTGCCTCCGGCTGCGGCACGCCGGGCGCCGCCTCCTGAACCCGCCCCGGGGTGCCCTCACCGCCTCCGTGCGGCCGGGGCCAAACCCCCTGATCCCTGCCCGGGCCTACGCGCCCCCAACAGGTGAGGGAGGCCAGGGCACATTCTCTTTTGGCCAGGGCCCGAGCCGGGCTAAGGTGGGCTGAGGGGTTCGGCTGTGCAGGGCGGGGTAACCGAGGCAGGGCTCAGGCTCGTGAGGTTACGCAGTTCAGTCAGGTCCCGCTACGGATCGGGGAAAATAGAAGCCCAGGCAAGGGCAGACCACCCGAGGGCACACATCGCATCACTGCGTGAGACAGTAGTTGCCATTTGGCACGTGCAGCTTGTCTCAAAGCTTATGGTTTTCTTTTCCAATAAGGAAAGCAGATGGCATTCTTCTCAGACAGGGAAACTCGGGTTTTCGATCAGGACTACACCTAAGTCACAGAGCAGACTCAGAAATTTGTGGAGGGCATCGGTCGGCCTGACCTTTTCCTGTGTCCCCGTGGCTGGGCACAGAAGGGTCCTGGAACCGGGGCATTCAGTGGGCATTCAGTCTTCCATCCTGGCCAGTTTCTCTGCAGGTTTCCTGACCCTCCCTCCCACTGTCCTACCACAATACCTGCCGTTTCTTCTCAGGAGTTGACCCTGGTGCCTCCTTTCTCTCCTTCTGACTGATAAGGCCTAGAAGAAGGTAGTGACTCTTTCACTGATTCTGGGGAGAGTTTTAGGGTAAAGGAATGACTCCCTTAAATGAGTGAAGAGTAGTAACACTCTTTTCATTCAGTTAGTTTTTCTGTGCTCAGAGCTGGAGGCATGGTGGTCTTCAAGGCAGGCATGGTCCTACCTAATGATCACTGTCATTATAGATCACTGCAGGTTATACTAGTCTCGTTAAACAACAGCGTATAATATCCTGTGATAAGGGAAGTACAAAGAAGCTGTGAGAACATAAGGAAGCACCTACTCCCATCTTGGGGGTTTTGAGGGTCTGGAAAGGGTCTTGATTGAAAGGACATTTCAGCTGAGTCTTGACAGATGAGTTGGAGTTCAGTGGAGAGGAGGAGGAAGAGTGTTGGGTGGCCAGAACAAGGTCAGAGGTGACTGCAGGCTGTGAGGGACTTTGCTGTAACACTACTTACTTTAGAAAATCTAGAACTCTCCAGGTAGTTTGACATTGTGGCAGAAGTACAAATCTGGGGTCTAACGCTGGCTGAACCTCTGAGGTACTGTGTGATCTTGGGCACCGGGCTGCTTCCTTTGGGCCTCATTTTCCTTCATGAGTTGAAGGACTAGGTTGCCTCTGAGGGTCCTTCTGTTAAGTTTCATAATTTTATACAAATGGAGAGAGCTGGATGCAGCAAGTAGCTGAGGTTTCACCTGTCAGGGTCCAAGTTGAAGGGCCTGAAAGTGGGCCATGAAGAGCCAGTAAAGAAGAAGAAGGAGGGGCATTTGTGATATTGTGAGTTATAAGAAGAAATATACAGTTGACTCTTGGAACAACATAAGGGTTAGGGCACCACTACCACCACCCCATCAAAAATTCACATATAACTTTTGACTCCCCCAAAACTTAATTACTAATAACCTACTGTTGACCCGGAGCGTTACCAATAGCAGTCGAGTAACACACATTTTGTATGTTACATGTATTATATTCAATATGCTTAAAATAAGCTAGATAAAAGAAAATGTTATTGAGAAAATTAGAATCATAAGGAAAAGATCAGGAGGAAGAGAAAATAACATCTACTGTACTGTAAAAAATCCAGGTGTGAGTGGACCTGTGCAGTTCCAACCCACATTGTTCAAGGGTCAACTGTCTGTATTTGGTCTCCCTTCAGTTCCTGGCACACATCTCTTAAAACCCTTGTAGTTTACTAAGCAATAAGAGCTATAGAAGAGGCTTTGTTGTATTTGGTCTTTTGTCCTAAAGTAGCTCCAGAGATATAAAGTTGAAAGCAGTATCTTATTCATAAGCCCCTTTCAACCACACCTGAGGTTATGTTAATGAGGTGGCTTTTGGAAAGTATCTAAGGATGGGGGCTGGTTGCCAGGGGAACCAACCACAAGATCAGAGGTTTGGTACTTTCAGTCCCACCCCCTGACCTCTGGGGAGGGGAGAAGGGCTGGAGAGATCGACTTGATTGCTAATGGCCTGTGATTTAATCAACCATGCCTATATAATGAAGCCTCCATAGAATCCCTGAACTGTGGGGTTCAGAGAGCTTCAGGGGTGGTGAACACTTGGAGATGCTGGAAGAGTAACATGCCCAGAGAAGGCACGGAATCTCCACACCCTTTCCCCTATACCTTGCCCTGTGCATCTCTTCATGTGGCTGATCCTGAGTTACATCCTTTTATAATGAACTGGTAATCTAGTAAGTTAGATCTTTATCTAGAGTTCTGTGAGCTGCTCTGGCAAATTCATCAAACCTGAGGAGGGGTCCTGGGAACCTCTGATTTATAGCCAGCGGTTGGAAGCCTAGGAGACAACCTGGGCTTGCAGTTGGCATCTGAAGGAAGTGGGGAATGCAGTCTTGTGGGACTCATGAGCGCTTAACTTCTGGGATCCGATGCTATCTCCAGGCAGATAGTGTCAGAACTTCTTTGAATTGTAGGACACCCAGCTGATGTCACAGAGTTGATTGGTGGCAACCCCCCCGGACGTTTGGAGCAGAGAGGGTCTGTGTGAATCTGTAAAGGAAAACGAGAGTTTCCTTTACAACATCCCGGGAAGGTTCAACATGACCGAAGTGGACACGTGTGGAGCTCACTGAAATTGGCACAGGCAGATCGTTCTTTTGGATTAGCGGTGCCATTTTCCATTATGGTGGCAAGTAATCTACCATCTGTTTCCTTTTTACTGCACCCTTTACTAGTTTAGGCTCTTGGAAGTAGCTGGCACATGAAAGAGAATAGGAATGAAAAAATGAAGCCCAGTGGGAGAGATGTCCATGAAACCAGGCCTGTGAGTGCACTGCAAAGACATTACCACTTTGAGTCTTCGGAATGGTGCAATATTAAACCCAAGTGGGGGCCTTCTCCATGAAGACTCTGGCAAGCAGATTGAACTTGGCTCCTTAGGAATGGCCATGCCAGGGAAGGTTGTCAGGAGAGGAGGGGGCTGGGAAAGGATCACTGGGGTGTTAGAGGAGATTTTGCAGCAAGGAGGCCTGTGTGAGGGTATGTGGTGGTCCGGCTCTGTACCAGTTGTCAGAGATCCATCAGCTGTTTAGAGGGGAAGGTGTTCTGGAGAGGCTGCATGCCTGGCTGAGTGCAACACCCAGTGAAGTCAAGGCTGAAAGTCTTGTCTCTGTTTTCAAATTGTCACCTGGACAAGTCATTTAGCTTCTCAGAGTCTCTACCACTTCAGAGGCATTACTTGGCCCGTCTTCATAGAATGGTTATGTTGGGTTGAGGGAAATTCTGTAGATAAAGCCCAGCCTGCCACCTGTTTTTTAAATAAAGTTTTATTGGAACACAGCCATGCCCATTCATTTTCATATAATCTAAGGCTACTTTAACTACTGAGTTGACTGGTTGCCTGCCAAGCCTAAAATATTTACTCTGGCTCTTTATGGAAAAAGTTGGCCTACCCCTCCCCAGGATGGTAGAGCAATTTGGAAAAAAAACTGTATTTAGATATTTAGCTCATTTACATTAATTGCTGTGGCAGATGCATTTGCCCCGAAGATTTTTTTAACAGCTTTATTGAGATTCAATTCACTTATAGATCACTCATTTAAAATGTATAATTCAGTGGTTTTTAGTATACTCACAGAGTTGTACAACTATCAACAAAGTTCTAGAACACTTTTGTCACCCCAAAAGAAGCCCTGTACCCTTTAGTTATCATCTTCTTCCCTCCCTATCCCATTCTCCCTAGAGAACCACTATTTTACTTTCTGTCTGTATAGATTTCCCTAGTTTGGACATTTCATAAATGGAATGTGGTCTTTTCTGGCTGGCTTTTTTACATTTAGTCTATTTTCAAGGTTTATCCAAGTTGTAGCACGTATCAGTACTCCATTGTCTTTCATAGCTGAGTAATATTCCATTGTATGGCCTTATCATATCTTATTTATCCATTCATCCACTGATGAACATTTGGGTTGTTTCCCTCTTTCGGCTATTCTGAATGCTGCCTATAAACACTTGTGTATAAGTTTTTATGTGGGCATATGTTTTTTTTGTTTGTTTGTGGTTTTTTGTTTGTTTGGGCATATGTTTTCATTTCTCATAGGTACATATCTAAGAGTAGACTTGCTGGTCATATGGCAACTGTTTGACTTTTTGAGGAACTGCCACACTCTTCCAGGGTTTAACTGCCACGCTTTTTCAGTTTACATTTCCACCAGCAGTGTATGAAGGTCTCACTTTGTCCACATCCTTGCCAACACTAGTTATTATCTGGGTTTTTGTTTTGTTTTAATTATAGCCATCCTAGTGGGTGTGAAGTAGTTTCTCTGGTTTTGTTTTGCGTTTCCCTGATGATGATGACGTCCAGCATCTTTTCATGTACTTATTTTGTATATATTTTCTTTGGAGAAATCTCTATTCAGATTCTTTGGCCAGTTTTTAATTGGGTTGTCTTTTAATCATTGGGTTGTAAGAGTTCTTAAATAGTTGGTCTGAAGAATTTTGATACCTGAAAACGGTTGGAGCCGCCCTAGGATTATGGATGGAGGGATGCCCTAAGTCAAATGTAGCTTTAAGGCTTAAGGCCCGCCAGATGGCACTGTTTAAAAAGATAAAGGTGTTGAGACCTCTGGCAGAGGGCACTTCCTCTGTTCTTGGTGCACTGTGGGAGTCGTAGTTCTGAGGCTTTGAGTCTTTCCAAAGCAAAGGCCAGGCGAAAATTGAGTCTGTTAGAAAGATCACTCACTAGTCTGTGACGCCTGGGACAGGAGGAGGAATGTAGGGGAAGTGACACAGAAAACACCCTGTTTCTTTATATGGATTGAAAAAACCTCATAGAAAAAAGGGACTTGCTGATGGACATTAATTTCCAATTCAGCACTACACATGAGCAGTTTTTTTAAGTTCTCTGCTTAAATAGCCTGTTTTCTTGTGGCCGGCCTTTAATTCAACACTTTTTCACGTACCTATTTCTTTGTATCTGCATAATCCACACCTAAAAGGTACTCAGTGTGTTTTTGCCACTGAAACAGATGTTCCGTAAAGGGAGCGATTCATACTCAATAGAGTGGAGTTCTGTGTGAGCTCAAAGGCTAGGCTGTTAATTTCATCTTTAAAGATGAGGTTCCTGTTGCTGTCAGTTCGTCCCGTGTTCACTGAGAACATGGGTGCTTCCATGTTCCTGGTCTCATGATTTATTTTCTGTGACCCAAGGCCATTGAGGGCCCAGGTGAAGAACATTGTTGGGGGTCATGGATTCCACCAAATGAATTTTCCAGATCCTGGCTTTGCTTATGTGAACCCCTAACTTGGCTCCCTCTGCCTCCATACTGTGACCTACCCAGCCCCCTCCCCCAGATCTGGCACAGATCAGTCTTGTCCTTTCGTCCATGGTTTTAGTTCTCCAAACTCTCATGCTCTCGTGAGGCTGAGGACCTTCATGTAAGCTGTTTCTTCTGCTAGAAATGCCTTCCACACACACCCCCCCTCCAAGAAACGAATCCATCCGTGCAGATTGGCTATCTCCTGCCTCACCATCAGGTCTCGGATGAAATCTGACAGCTTGGAGGTCTTCCTTTAGCCCATGATGAGATTAGGCTGTCCTGGTGTGTGTCTCCAGTGACCCTCGGCCTTTGGCCATCAGTGACTTTACTGTTTGGCTGGTTTAGTGTTCGGCTTCCCAGTAGACAGGAAGTGCCTCGAGGGCAGGGACGAGCTTTGATTTCGATCCCCAGGACTTACCCCACTTCCTGGAACAGGATTAGTACTCACCGAAGTTTGTTCTAAGTTGAGTTTGCCCCTGCACGTATCCGCTGCATTCAGGAGAGCACCTGTCTAAAACACGCTGCACGGGGTTGCCTGCCCTCTTCAGAGGCCCGGCAGCCTTTGTGCTCCTTTTGCCTGGAGCTGTCCTCTCTTTCTGCAGGGTTTACTGCTGTTATGAGCAATTTTGGTTGACCCATCCTCGCCCTTCTATCCTTCCCACTCCCTTCCATTTTTTTCCTCTTAATCAGGCACAGAGGGGGACCTGGCCAGGACAGAGGAAGCAAGGCCTGACCACCAAAGCAGAGGAAAAAAAAGACTTCCTCGTGGGAAACCTCACCATCCTGGCAGCTTTAGGTTTAGCCCATGCTGTCAGTTTCTGTCCCGAATCCAGGTGTCTTGGGCCCATCTCCCAGGGCTGTGTCCAGCCATGTGCTAGAATGCTCTCTGCTGGCACTTCCTGCTGATGGGGGCAGATCCTTCCCCCAGCGATGATGAGTCAGCTTTCACAGCTCTTCCCACTTCCTGCCTGGTCTGGCTCTGGACACGTTGCCCAGGTCAGGCATTGGAGAACATACTGGATGTGGTCCGGGTGCCTCAATCCAGGCCTCCAGACCTACACAAGGAGGCCTCCAGATTCGTGTCTCATCCACTCTCTGAATGTGACCGGATGGCACGTGAACTTGGGGCATTCAGAAGCACCAGGATGGGGTAAACATTCCATTTTGGTGTTAAACGCGTGAGAGAATCGCTATTATGATTTCAGATAGAGGTGGCAATTCATGCCATAATAATACAGCATCATCTTGGTGGGCAGATCCTATCACTTTTTTTTTTTTTTTAAACTGTTTAAACTACATAAAGACAGTGATTTTTGGCATTTTTATTCACTGTTTGATCCCACGTACCTAGAATGGTACCTGGCTCGTGGTAGACATGCAATTTTTTTTTGTCGGAAAACAGTTCAGGCCTTCGTTGAGTAAAACACAGCTGTGGAAATGCAATTTGGGGCCCTTTTTGGGAAAGCGTCAACGATAGAGCACGAGACTGATGAAAACACTGACGTGATGTGGAAAACCGAAAAACACCACGTTTGGAGGCCAGACACCCTCCCTCCACCACCCCTCCCCCCCTGCACAAACGAAGTTCTGATTTTCATCGTCTGTGTGATTTAATTTTAACTTAAGCGTGGTTTTTGTTCTTTGGGTTTTTTTTTTTCCTAAAGCATTAAAAATGAATGAATCTTCTCCTCCTCCCCATGCTGCATCAGTATTTCCAACAAGTAACTTTAGTCAGGGACTCTGAAGGGTCTTAGCCCCCGGTGATTTTTGTGACAGAACAAACAAGCGAACGAGGCAAGGTTTTGTGTTTATCGCAAATGTTACAGCTGGGTTATGGTTTTTAGCTTCCAAAATGTGACCTATTTGTTCTTTATTAGTAAAAGGAGTCTGCATAATTCCTTAGGAGGCACTCTTAGTTTTAAGAGGGGGTTATATTCAAGTTATTTTCAGATCTCACAGGCCGCATATTCCCCCCCCTTTTTTTTTAGTTTTTAAAAAAGATTTTATTTATTTGAGAGAGAGCATGAGAGGGGGGAGGGTCAGAGGGAGAAGCAGACTCCCCGCCAAGCAGGGAGCCCGATGTGGGACTCGATCCTGGGACTCCGGGATCATGACCTGAGCCGAAGGCAGTTGCTTAACTGACTGAGCCACCCAGGCACCCTCTTTTCCCCGAATGTTTGGAGTTCCCATCGAATACGCAGGCATGCTGGTTAATTAGGTTAATTAATTGGATAGAGAGGATGAGAGAAGCTCCTGGGATCTCTTCTCACTTCCTCTGTGCCACACACGTGCGTGCACATGTCCACACCGCTTTTCCTCTTTTGCTGTCTTAGGGGCATCAGACTCTTGCCCAAAATAGGTCTCTGGCTTTATTGCATTCAGACACCATCTCTGGGCTAGGGCACATTGTTCTGGCATGAGGGCAGTGCTGGTGGGGGTGGGGTGTTGCGGGGGGAGCCTGCCTAGAAATTAAAGCAGAAGGTGCTAGAAAAATCTGTCGCATCAGATAGTTCGCGGCTTCGAGATGCTTTGCGATCAGACTGTCCCTGGGCTCGGGGGCTGGCGGGGGCCTGACCAGTGTGTCCCGTCTCTCCCTCAGCCCCGGAGAGTGAATGCCCTCCCCCCGCCCAAGCTTTAATCAGGAGCCCTTGATTACGCCGCATAGAGTAGGGCAGACCTTGAATAGTGATATGAAAATCAAGCCAATCAATCAGCATTAGCAGTAATGACACAAGCTGGTCTTGTCACTTCCTGAGCTGTCTCGATGTTATTTTAAACTGCCTTTCTGAAAAATCTCTTTTACAGAAAGGAAGAGGTTTTATCAGAATGTCAGCATCACACAGGGTGAAGGTGAGTGTCTGAAATTTTGACTGCCTCTTTTTCTTTTTCTTTTCCTTTTTTTTCCCTGTGAATGGGTAGAAACATTTTTCATCTCTAGCCGGTTTCGGCGGTGAGATTACCCTTCGTGCTTTTGTTGGGGAGGTTTCTGTAAGCCCTCCGTGAACGGACTCGCAGTTGTCTTTGTCTGCACCGATTCAAGTAGCTAAATATAGGAATGGTCACTTGATTCCACTTAACAATCCCTGAGAGCTTTTCATTTGATCTTTCAAGGTGGCTTTGAGATAAACCTGGACCACAGGAAGCTGAAAACTCCCCAAGCCAAGCTCTTTACTGTCCCCAGCGAGGCCTTGGCCATTGCGGTGGCCACTGAATGGGACTCCCAGCAGGACACCATCAAGTTCTACGCCATGCACCTGGTAACCAGTTCCTGAACTTCTACCCCGATGCACGCGGCTGGCTTCCTAGGGTAGCTGGCAAAAATCGAGACTCCTTTCCAAATTCGGATAAGGCCCTCGGGGCTGGAGTTCTGCCACGCTCACCTCCTTAAACATGCTGACCGTTCCCTGCCCGGCCGCCTGTGGTTCCCCTGCTCAGAACAGTCCTGGATGACTTAGTTCCTCCTCTGCTCTCAGGACAGGTGTCACCTTCCCTCGATGCCCAGCTCTCTTATTTTCTGTCACTCCACCTGCTCATTTCTTTTGCCAGCATGTTTGCAATTGATAATTGTCCATTCGATGTTTGCACTCTCAGAGTCTGTCTCTTCTACCGCCTGGTGAGCCCAGAAGGGCAGGGCCATGTCTGTCTCACTAGTGCATAGCCAGCCCCTCATTTGAGGCTCAGTTGGCGCTCAGTGGGTATTGGTTGAGTGCAGGAACGCACGGGGCCAGGTGGGTGAGGTGAGACAGCTCCCCTTGGAGCGCACCCTCCATCCACACATGGTGGCTCGCTGAGACACTAGAGCAGACCGGGGCAGGGGCTGGCTAAACTCTTTGGGTTTGGGCTCTGCGGCTTCCAAACTGTCACCTTGGGCAAGCTACTGGCTCTTCTTAGCCCTGTGGTCCCCATCTGTGAAAGGAGATCAGGATGGGATGATGTGATGCTGGAACATCTTTGGTGTGGTTCTTGGCACAGGGAGAACACTCAGTCAACACCGGAAACAGTGCTGTCATCCTGGTCATTCCCGTGCTTGGCCTTGACATACAGACCCAGGCGGGCATCCTCAGCATCTTCAGCCTGCCGTGGGGCTGGCCTGCTCCTTTGGCTGTCTGAGGAAATGAGGGTGACACAGCTACAAACTAATTGTCCTACTTAGGTACTACTTAGGTACTACTAAGCCGCCTAGCTGGGAAAGTCATCCTGCTTCTGGTTTGGCTCATTTGTTTCCCTGCTTCCTGAGGTGGTCAGGGGGCCAGCTAGGGGCTTCTCAGTCAGATCTGAGTGTTAGTAACTGACCTCTCTGGGCCTCAGTTTCTACATCTCTGAAATGATGGTAATAATAGTACCTACTCCAAAGGGTATCATGAGGATTCAGTGAAATACAGCAGAGCCTGGTGGTGGGAGCGTGAGACCTGGGGGAGGTTCGTTACTCCTGGGGTGACTATGAGTATCCCCTGGGCCCACGGGCTGTCACACGCCGCGTTTGGCACAGAGCCTGGCTGTCACAGGTGCTCAGTAGATGGGCTACAGCTGAGGTTGTAGAGATACCGGGGGTCCAGGGCTTCCATTTGGCTCCAGTACTCCCTGGGTGGTGCTCTCTGGGTTCTCCGTGTTGCTCTGGGTCTGCGGCAGTATCCTTCTGGAGGGCAGTGCGTTCGCCTGGGCCCAGCGGTGGTGACAGGGCATCTTGTCTCTTGCTTCAGACCACACTGTGCAACACGTCTTTAGACAACCCGACCCAGCGGAACAAGGACCAGCTGATCCGGGCGGCTGTGAAGTTTCTGGACACCGACACCATCTGGTAATTGACATTTAGATGGGCCTTCCCCTGGGACTGAGCAGGTCCCCTGGGCTGTTTGCCTCATTTGCCCAGACCGTTATCAGCAGAAGGAGAGGCAGACCCTTTTCCTTTATCTGCCAGGGCGGGGAGGCCGTTTGCCTGACATCGCCACTTAGCTGCCCTGAGGATCCCTGGCGGGGAGGGCTCCTCAGGCTGCCGCCGTGTAAGAGCACTGGGCGCTCCTCTCCTGCGGCCCAGCAGCTGTCCCTGGGTCTGGGCTGGGGTGCGGTGGTAGCATATGCAGCTCTTGCAGGCTCCAGGACCAAGGGGGTCACTTTTCAACCCCCATCGGGGCCTCCGATCCTGGACTTCCGCCCATCCTCACGTAGGCATCCTTGTCCTCACTCATCCGCTTGGACACAGGGATGGTCGGTGGTTGATGTCAGGAGCTGACTTCTTCCACTTCTGAATTCTCCCCTCGCGTCTAGGTTCTTTAGCTAACCGCTCAGTGGTGTTGAAGGAAAGTTCGAGAAACAGCAGACCCGGCCAAGCAGCACTCTCCTCTCAGCTGCCCATTTTCCTGTGCACTCATGATCTCTCTTCTTCCTGCTGCTCCCACCGCACTGTGGCTTTCCACGGTGCCCCCTCATCTTCTGGTCCCCAGGGGCCTTGCCCCTCAGCTCCCCGCACCTGACTCCCATTTCTGTGTCTCTTGGTCGAAACAAGTGGGATAGCCTGGCACCAGGTGGGAGCCCAAGCCAGCAGCTGCGTCGGGAGCCGTGCGGGCTCATGCGGTGTGCACAGGCAGTTTGTGGCCAAGGGGCACAGTCTCTTAGAAGGATTAGGGGAGGTAGAGGTGTGGTGACCGAGCTGGCGCGGCATCCTAGGGTCAGGTGGGTGTGGATCTGGGGGTGCAGTATTAGTGTTTAGAATCGCATACCTAGTGTCGCAAGCCTTGGCCTGTGAAGTGACAGGGGACGTTTAGGACAGTAGTTCTCACAAACCTGTGGTAGAATCCCCTGGAGGGCTCGTTAAAACACAGATTGCTGGTCTCCACCCCCAGAGGTTCTGCTTTCCGTAGGTGTGGGGTAGGACCTGGGAACTGGCCTTTCTAGCAAGTTCCTAGGGGACTCTCTGCTGCTGGCCCTGAGGCTACCCTCTGAGAACTGCTGCTTTAGGGAAGGACTTGCAGGGCTTCGCTGGGGCGGGGGGAGTTGAGAAGTTTTATTTTACTCTTGCCTTTTAGGTTTTTTCATTGTCTGTCACTGAGTGAAGGAATTATACTTTTTTATTAATGAAGGTGATTTTTGCAATGAATTAGCTACAGGGTGGAAGAGCCAGCGACGTTAGTCGAACTGCAAAAGAACGAGTGGGACCCAATCATAGAATGGGCGGAGAAGAGGTAAGATGCGCAGCCCCGCAGGCTTGGGCAGGCTGGTGGGGTCAGGGGTCACACTGGACCGCTGAAGCCCTTAGCTGGTTGACTTTCTGAGTTCAGAGCACCCATGGGATTCAACAGCTCCTGGATGTTGAGGGATAGGGCTGGCCCCCTTGGAAAAAAATGCTCCTCAAATTAGCATCAGCCACCATGCGCCAAGTGCGTACTGTGTGGGGATGGAGCCCCAGCTCTGCCCTGATTGGCTGTGTGACCTGGGGTTAGTGCCTTGAGCTCTCTGAGCTTCCTCGTCTGTGAGTGGGCCCCATCATCCCCACCCCTTAGCGTGTTGTGCGGGGTAAACTAAGTGATGCCTAGCATCCTGCTTGGCACACTGTAAAGGCGCAGATCTGGGCACTGATCATCTCTGTCATTGTCACAATTGCTGTCCTTTTAAACTGAATCCCAGGGGCGCCTGGGTGGCTCAGTCGTTGAGCGTCTGCCTTCGGCTCGGGTCATGATCCCGGGGTCCTGGGATCGAGCCCCGCATCGGGCTCCCTGCTCCACGGGAAGCCTGCTTCTCCCTCCCTGACTCCCTCTGCTTGTGTTCCCTCTCTCGCTGTCTCTCTCTCTGTCAAATAAATAAATAAAATCTTTAAAAAAAAAAAAAATTAAAATAAACTGAATCCCAAAACAGTGTGCATGATATGTACACACATGAGGACAAGTCTGGGAACACTGATCCTGTGGACGTAAGGCTTCTAGGAGTTGATGATGCTCAGTATTTTTCCCTAGTGGAAAGATTCTTCTGTATAAAATTAAACTGTTGATGTGGCGGTGAAATAAATTAAATTTCGTTTCATTCCAGGGGGGTTTGGGAGGGCTGCTACCGTGGTACCACCTTGACCTCAGTATTTGTAAGCTGACACGAGTAGTTTTTGGCATAACATCTTTCCCAGAAGTGCTCTCTGCCTGTGTCATTTGTCCACGTTTCCCGAGTGCCACAGTGTGCCAGATGTCCAAGGGTTTTATAGTAAAAGGCACAGCCGGTGCACTTAAGGATCAAACAAAATGTCACAACCACAATACTGTGGAAGAGCTATGAAGATACGGTGTCATTTCAGAGTCTAATGAAACGTGACAATAGGGTGGGTGCCTGGAGATCTCTGCCGTGGGACAAAATTGTCCACTTTCTGTGGCACTCGAGATTCTCATCCTTGAGAGTTTGCAAAACAGCTCGGCCATTTGCTGTGCTCCATTTGTACCATTAGAAATTTCAGCAAGAATATTTCTAAACCAACGGGAAAAATGAGTTACACAGGAAAGAAAATTACAAAAATTGCTTTTAGTCTATTTCATTTTTCCTGTCCTTTATATAGTTACTATTGGTCTTGAAAATGTGTCATTCTTTTTTTTTTTTTTTAAAGATTTTATTTATTTATTTGAGAGAGAGAATGAGAGAGAGAGAGCACATGAGAGGGGGGAAGGTTAGAGGGAGAAGCAGACTCCCTGCTGAGCAGGGAGCCCGATGTGGGACTCGATCCCCGGACTCCAGGATCATGACCTGAGCTGAAGGCAGTTGTGTAACCAGCTGAGCCACCCAGGCGCCCGAAAATGTGTCATTCTTAAAGCCAGCTCATGTCCCAGACCAAAAGCAAAGGCTTGTATGCAGTAGAGGCTTAATAAATATTTGAAAAAGTGATGGGATGGTATAGAACACATAAAAGATCATTGTAAGAAAATGTGGGGCGCCCGGCTGGCTCAGTCGGTAGAGCGTGTGACTCTTGATCTCAGGGTTGTGGGTTCGAGCCCCATGTTGGGTGTAGAGATGACTTAAAAATAAAATCTTTAAAAAAATACTATTGTAAGGAAAATAGTTTTGTTTTTTTTTTTAAAGATTTTATTTATTTGACAGAGAGATAGAGAACACAAGTAGGCAGAGAAGCAGGCAGAGGGAGAGGGAGAAGCAGGCTCCCCGCAGAGCAGGGAGCCCGATGTGGGACTCGATCCCAGGACCCTGGGATCATGACCTGAGCCGAAGGCAGCTGCTCAACCGACTGAGCCACCCAGGCACCCCAGGAAAATAGTTTTTAAGATGGGGAGGGGCAGAGGGAGAGAGAATCTTTTTTTAATTTAAATTCAATTAATTAACATAGAGTGTATTGTTAGTTTCAGAGGTACAGTTCAGTGATTTATCAGTCTTATATAACACCTGGTGCTCATTACATCACATGCCCTCCTTAACGCCCATCACCCAATTACCCCATCCCCCCCCACAACCCCTCCAGCAACACTCAGTTTGTTTCCTATGATTAAGAGTCTCTTATGGTTTGTCTTCCTCTCTGATTTCGTCTTCTTTTATTTTTCCCTCTCTTCCCCTATAATCCTCTGTTTTGTTTCTTAAATTCCACATATGAGTGAGATCATATGATAATTGTCTTTCTCTAATTGATTTATTTCACTTAGCATAATACTCTAGTTCTATCCACGTCATTGTAAATGGCAAGATTTTATTTTTTTGATGGCTGAATAGTATTCCACTGTATATATAAACCACATCTTCTTTATCCATTCATCTGTTGATGGACATCTGCGCTCTTGCCATAGTTTGGCTATTATGGACATTGCTGCTATAAACATTCGGGTGCAGGTGCCCCTTCGGATCACTACATATGTATCTTTGGGGTAAATACCCAGTAGTGCAATTGCTGGGTTGTAGGGTAGCTCTATTTTCAACTTTTTGAGGAACCTCCATACTGTTTTCCAGAGTGGCTGCACCAGCTTGCATTCCCACCAAGAGTGTAAGAGAGTTCACCCTTCTCTGCATCCTCACCAGGAGGAGAGAGAGAATCTTGAGCAGGCTCCATGCCCAGTGCTGACCCCGAGTCAGGGCTCAATCTCACAACCCTGACATTGTGACCTGAGCTGAAATCAAGAGTCAGACGCTTAACTGACTGAGCCACCCAGGCGCCCCAGGAAAATAACTTTTTAAAGAAATCTTTTATGGTCTCAAATATGAAAAGTTTTCTTAAGAGGTTTAAAAAGCAGGCACCCCGTGCTTTTGATGGAGGTTCTAGGCAAAGGAGTTAGAATTTCAGGCAGCTGCGTGGGCTCTGGCTCTGCTCTGGGGAGGCCACTGGCCATCGTGGTAGATGCTCCCAGAATCCCTAAGACTAGCCCTCACAGGGCACGTGCATGCTCAGCAGTTGAGGACTTTGCTTCTGGGTGAAAGCTGGGCCACACAGCACCACAGGGACATGCCGAAGCCTTTTCCTTTCAGATACGACGTGGAGATCGGCTCCTCCACCAGCATAATGGGGCCCAGCATCCCAGCCAGGACTCGGGAGGTGCTCGTCAGCCACCTGGCGTCTTACAACGTGTGGGCCCTACAAGGTATGTGTAGTGTTTCCCATGGCCTGGGAGGGCGGCGTGACGGACACAGGCATCACCAGAGCACTCGAGGGGCTGGCTCTGATGCTAACTAACCCTTCCACTCAGTCGCCAGAGGACAGCAGGCTCCCACCCTTGCAGGGGATAGTTGGCTCTGCCTTCTTCTTCAGGCGTCTTGACTTCAAGTCTCATTGGCCTGGTTCGAGTCACATGCCCATGTGCCAACCAGTCCCTGGACCAGGGGCTGGAGTCCTCCCACATGTCCGGTTCAAGTCATGTGCCCCCCCCCCCCGGGCAGGAGCAGAAGAGGGATCACACCCCCAGTGGAAATCAGAGTGCTCTTTGAGAAGAATGGGGAATGGATACAGAGCCGGCCAGAAAGCGCACATCCCCTGTGACCATCGGTCCCCCACCGAGCACCTCTGTACCTCTCCAGGGCTGCAGGGGCTCGCAAAGAGGAGGTCTGGCACCTCCCCTGTCTTGGCGTGGGGGTGCCCTGGATCCTGATCTGGCTTGTGTACCTGCAGGGATTGAGTTTGTAGCGACCCAGCTCAAGTCCCTGGTGCTGACCTTGGGCCTGATGGACCTGCGCCTGACCGTGGAGCAGGCCGTGCTGCTGTCCCGCCTGGAGGAGGAGTACCAGGTGAGGAGCGTCCGCGGCCTGAGTCCCCGCTTCTCCCCTCCCTGGTTCAGACTGAGGGGGGGTTGGGGGGGGTGGGCTGGCTAGCCCATCAAAACTGTTTTTATGTAGATTTGGCCTTTTGTGACTTTCACGTACATCCAGAAACCAAAACTCAGGGCCCACAAAATTGTCAAGAAGCAGTGATATAACAGTACTAAGTGCCACCGTGTTCCAACATGCTTAGCTCTACCCTCATCGCCTCACCTCTTCTGAACAGCCTGGCCAGGTGGGAGCTGTTGTTATCCCCATTTTACACAGGGGGAAACCGAGGCCCGGGGTCACACCCCTGGAAAATGCTGGAGCCAGGGTTTGGAGCCAGGTCTGGGCAACTCCATACCAAGGCGGTCACCACACTTGGCAGATAGGGGTTCAGGGGCGGATCAAGATCGTCTGCTTGCACAACTGCATGGTGGGCCCCACTAACATGCGGAGCCCTGGCGCCCTGACTCACACTGCGGGTCATCTGGATGGCAGAGCGCACACAGGGGGCACCTTTTTGTACAGAAGCTTTCATTTAGTGGGTTTGAAATTAATACGGTTTTGCTACACTGTCATTTGCATTTTTTAACTCTGAGAATTATGGCGTTCTCTGCAGTCTTTTTACTGTTTTTTTCCTCCAACCTCAGAAGGTTAATTGCTATTACAAATCGGCTCCTAGCATGATGAAAACTCTTTTGTAATGACATTATTTCCCGAATCCGTCTAGTCATCTGTTCAGAAAAATGCCAGGGGAAGAACTGTTTCTCTACCACGAAAGGGGCTAGCTAGAGACATGGAATGGGCAGGGGTGATCTGTTGGGGCTGGGGGGTGAGGGCTGTGGGAGGCGGGGAGCCAAGAAACCCACTCTCAGGTTCGAGCCGCCACAAAACAGGGACTTACCTGTTCCCTCAAAGTATAAAATGCTCCTCGGAGGACATATCACAGTCGTCCACGTGGGGACGGTGGCTTGTGTGACGTGGCAGATCCCAGGTGCCCGGACGGCTGGGGCGGCTGGGCCCCTGGCCAGGCAGGGGGCGCTGCAGCCCAGGCTGGTGAGGCAGCTCGCAGAGGATGACCTCTTGCAGGCGGTCTCACACCAGCCTCCTTGTGGGAGGAGGACGGCATGCGGGTGGCGCCCCCTTGGGGAAGATGCACGTGTGGTTTTGGGGCCGGGCCCACCCGGCAGTCTGGGTGCTCACGGGCCCTGGGCCTGGACTGCACCCCTCCCAAGCTGTCCGCACTCCATCAGCATGGGTGCCTGCTCTGCCCACCCAAGGGTTCTCCCCGGCTGCCTCCCCTGCGTGGGTCCCCATGTTTTGGCAAGACTGGGGCCCCGGCCCCCGAGCCTGGCTATGGGGATGGAATGTGGCTCCGGCCAGGAGGCAGCCGGGCGCCTGCCAGCCACGCAGCAGCCTGTCCTGCCCTCCCCTCAGATCCAGAAGTGGGGCAACATCAAGTGGGCCCACGACTACGAGCTGCAGGAGCTGCAGGCACGCACGGCCGCTGGCACCCTCTTCGTCCACCTCTGTTCTGAGAGCACCACGGTGAATCACAAACTCTTGCAGCCGTGAGGCCTGGCCGGGCGCACCCCCCGGCCTGCGGGGCCCCCGCTCGGCGTCGCTCTGCCATGCCCCCCAGGACCCAGCACGGCCGTGGAGGTCAGCCCGCGCCCCGGCCGCGCGCCCCTGGCCCAGTTGGGCAGTGAGCGAGCGGGACAAGCGAACGAGCGACTTTCTCTCAAGCTGGTTTTATTAAATACCTGTCTGCTTTGGGCTTTCTCTCAAGCTGGTTTTATTAAATACCTGTCTGCTTTGGGCTTTCTCTCAAGCTGGTTTTATTAAATACCTGTCTGCCCCGGGAACGCGTGGAGGCCTGTTCTCATTTGCGCCTCTGCTTTCCTCCATTCCTCGTGCTACGTCTGGGCTTCACCAAGGTCAAACGGCTTCCGTCCCACGGCACGTCCTGCTCTTGCTGCCCGTGGCTGGGAGCCTCACGGAGCTGTGCGGCCCTCAGCCGGGAGACGTTTCTCCCCTGGTTTTTTAATCAGTCTTTCGAAAGTGAGTCCTTTTTGTCCTACGCTGGTTATTTCTATTTGTTCCTAGTATTTTAGAAGAAAGCATTTACTCTTGAAAATAGAAAGTATGCATTGTTTGTGGGGTAAAAGCCCAGGCGGGCAGGGCAAGGCCGGCTGACTTGGAAGTGCCCTGCCCAGGGAGCCCCGACTGTCCTCCCGACTCGGCCACTCGCCCCACCCTGGGTGCCCTGTGTGGTCTCCTGGGGCCGCAGGCCAGGTGCCCTCCCTGAGGCCCTGACTGTGCTCAGACGAGGTACGGTCACCTCCCCACTTCTCATTCCTGAGCTGGAGCTCAGGCTGCAGAGGTGACATGGGAGGCCCAGCCTGTGCTCTTCACCTCTGGAGGGTCGTGTGGCCCCTGTGGCCAACCTTAGAGATGCAGGGAGCTGTGGCCTCCACCTTGGTGGGCCGGCCCAGGTCCCACGGCTATGCCGGGGGCTCTGGCCTCTCCTGTGTCCCTCCTCAGCACACGGAGAAGAGAAGGACTCAGTCCACATCAGCCTCGTCCGCCTCCCGCTGGAGGCCTGCCCTGGGCGCGTCAGCAGAGACGGTGGGCACGTAGCTGACGTTAGGCCGTGGCCAGGGGTCTAGCAGCCACCTTGGAAGCCGCCCTGCAGGCCAACTGCAAGGCCAACTGATCATCTTGGACTTTTCCTTTTGCACGTACGTGATTAGGAGTTCTGATGATTTTTTTTTTTTTAAAGAATGGAGAAGAGATGGGGGTGCCTGGGTGGCTCAGTCGGTTAAGCAACCGACTCTCGGTTGCGGCTCAGGTCATGATCTCGGGGTCATGAGATCGAGCCCCACATCGGTCTCTGTGTTCAGTGGCGGGGGGGGGGGGGCGTGTCTGCTTCTCTCCTTCTGCCCCTCCCCCCTGCTCATGCTCTCTCTTAAATCACTAAGTAAATCTTTAAAAAAAAAGAATGGAGAAAAGAGACATGGTCCTTTATTTTTCTCTACATTTGGAGGTCTCCCCAGGGGTAGGGGAAGAATGGTGCTGGGGGGAGGGGTTGTGGGTTGAGAGACTCCCAGTAATGCTCGTGAAGCGTTCAGGGAGACGTGTGTGGTGTGTGTGCGCACTGCGAGGGCCGAGGACTGTGTTCTGAAGAACTGTCTGGGCTGGTAAGCTCTAATCTATGACGTCACTGCATTCCAAGTTGTCCAGTTCGTTCTGCATGTGGTCGATGTACTGATTGATCTCCTTCACTCGCCTGCGGTTCCTCATGATCTCATCCTTGTGGATCTGAGGGGTGAAAGCAAAGCCCGAGGTCCTTAAGTCAGAGAATTTGCTGGTATTTTTTTACTGAGCACACTTTGGGGAAAAGGAAGTCGTTCTTTGAAATTTGTGTAGTTGCATCCCTCATTTACTTTAAAGTCTCCGAGTTCTGCTCATCTCTTTGAGGGAGGAGTTAGGGTGGGTTAGCATGTGGGTTCTAAAGTCTGTCTTCAGTGTGGAATTCTACCATCCTTAATTTTACTGTATTTTGGGGCACCTGGATGGCTCAGTTGGTTAAGAGGCTGCCTTCGGCTCAGGTCATGATCCCAGGATCCTGGGATCGAGTCCTGCATGGGGCTCCTTGCCCAGCAGGGAGCCTGCTTCTCCCTCTCCCTCTGTTGTTCCCCCGGCTTGTACGTGCACTCTCTCTCTCTCTCTCTCTGACAAATAAAATCTTTAAAAAAAATTTTTTTAACTGTATTTTGTATTGCCAAGAGTATATGCTCCCAGGGAAAGATTTCCCCTTTCTCTCCGGCTGGTAGCTGGAGAAATGGGTGCAGCCTCCTAGACCAGGGTAGTACCCACTCACCGTGTCCACCAAGTGCGTACACCAAGAGTTGGTCCTGGTCACCAGCTCATCTTCTCGATTGTCGATCTTCAGGAGGTGGATGTCATGTGATGCCCCGACAGCATTAACAATCGTGTCTTTGTCGACAAAAAGCTGGTGAGCAAGAAAGATTAGATGAGCGTGTGTGTCACGTTCCCTGCCCCCGAGCACACAGTCACAGGGCCGAAGAGAAAGGGAACAGCCGAGTGTCCCCTGGCTGGAGGAGGCAGCTGCCCAGCGCCCAGTGGAGCGCCCACCTTTGTATCAGCGTTCTTCTTGCAGCTCATCTTCCAGGGACAACGCCTCCCAGACCTGAGCTGCGGCAAGCACTATGGGGAAGGGGCCCACCAAGGCGTTGACTTTGCAGTCCTAGTTGGGAGTGTGTTTCCTTCAGGGAGGAGGCAGGTGGTTGTTCCACAGGTGACCTCACTCACGACGTCTGCTCCCACAGTGGTTCTCTCTCGTTGGCCCTCAAGTCTGATTTGCCTGACGCCTGCCGGCTGGGTGGGAAGTGTAAGGCTGGCTGCAGGTCTCGGGCTGCTCTGAGGACAGAAGGCCCTATAAATCGATGGCTGCTCACCCCACCTTGTCTCTCCATTGCCCCTCACGTTAACCCAATTGAACTCTGGATTATGCTTGGGGTCTCCTGCCTTCTTGTTCCTGACCTTGTTTTCTGCCTTGTAAAAAGTTGTTGAGAATGACCACCCTCCACCAGGCCTGGCTGGTCCTAGGTGTCCACACCATGGCTGTTGTGTAGCTGGCTCAGTTGGAAATCAAGTGGAATCATTCCCCAGAGCAGGGCAAGGCTGCGGGTGCACTTCATAAGCGCTGCTTACGCTTTGAAGGAAAGGCAAAAGACCCGAATGTTCCATTTGTTGTGAGGACTGCAAGCGGATAAATACTTGTTGTTTTTCTTTAGTATAGTAGTGGTTAGCTTAATAGTCTCCAAAATATGTTCTATGGGATCTTGAGATATTAGTATTTCTGCAAAAAAATCCCCAAAAATGTTTTCTTTGGTCAAATACCTTTGGGAAAGCCTTGCATAACAGGGCACGAAACAGAGAAGGCTCTGGAAAGTATAAACTCTTAACTTTGTCTCTCTTGGTTTGCCAGTTTATTTGGCCACAGACTTCTTTTCACAGTAATGCCTGTAATGCCTATGAGTACTTCCCGGGATGGTGGTTGTCCACAGAATCCCATGAAGAGAAGCGAGGCTGGCTGACGCAGCTGATGCTAGCCCGGCCGCATGGGAGAAATGACAGGAAGTCATGAAGATCTTCCTCTGTGCGAGAAGGTCCCGGGCCAGACTCTGGGAAGGACTTCAGGCAGCCTGCTCGGGAGCGCGTCCCGGTAATCTAGAAGTAGCCAGAGCCACTCATCATGAGAAGGTCCTGGTTCTTCACTTTTAAAAAGGGTCATAGCGGGTCTCCTAGGCTCCTGGCTCCCTGAGGGCCTTGCTGGACCTCACGGAGGTGAAGACACAGCCCTCAAGACACACTTGTTTCAGAGCAAATTCTTGGGGCGGGTTGGGGGCATGACTTTTGTCACTTGAGCACAGTCTCTGGGCACTGGCAGGTCCTCTCTGTGGCGTGGGCCTGAGCGCGGGCCCCACCACTGCGGCTGGACGCCCACGTGGCTGCTCAGAGCACCCGGGGAGCAAGTGTGCCCTCCCTCGGCCCCTGGCAAGTGGCAGCGGCTCATGGCAGCACGAGGCTCGCGGCCCCCGGCCCCAGTGGAGGGGCCCTTGCCAGGGGCCGCTGGGGATGCCGGCGCCGCTCTTGTCCCCTCCCTCCCCGCACGCGCCGCTTTTCCTTCCAAAGCACCGAAGGACTTCGGAAGACAGATTTGGCCCCAACTGTGGCGGGAGCTGATCACAATCACTGGACTGAATGAGAGGAGTTTTAAAGAGATAAACAATC